CCGACAGGGGCGACCAGGCCCGCGGCTCGCAGTGGCGCACGTACGGCGCCGAGGAGGACCTCTGCTCCGTGCCCTACTCTGGTAATGCCCGGCCGGGTTCCCCCTCGCCCCTGGGTGCCTCCCGGCATCACGGTGCTCCTGCACCCACGGGACCCCCGTGCGTGGGACGGGTGTGGGTCCCCAAGGAGGCCCGCGAGGCAGAGCCCCCCAGCGTCTCCGTGGCACTTTGTGGCACCCGAAAGTAAGGGAAACAGATCCAAAATGTGGTGTGAGCCCCCGCTGCACTGGGGCACGTGGAGAGCGGAGCTGCCGCACGGGGCGCGTCCCCATCCCCGCTCCGTCCCCCGCGCGGGAGCTGCTTTCAGAGAGGTCTCCTTTTTCCGCAGAGATTTACACCATTCAGGGCAACTCGCACGGGAAGCCCTGCACCATCCCCTTCAAGTACGACAACCAGTGGTTCCACGAGTGCACGAGCACGGGCCGCGAGGACGGCCACCTCTGGTGCGCCACCACGCAGGACTACGGCGTGGATGAGCGATGGGGCTTCTGTCCCATCAAGAGTAAGTGCGGGGATGGAGACCCTGGGACGCTGCCACCAGGCTGGCCTTGCTTTGCTCGCGGGATCTCGGAGCGCTTCCACTCCGCCGTGCTCTTGGTGACCGCTTTGGTCTTGTCCCTCCTCTTGGGAGCACCCGTGGTGTTTGTCAGAGCAGAGTGGGGTGTCCTGTAGGGCAGGAGCAGCCCCAGACCCTTCTTCAACACCTCAGCTCTTGAGTTTTGTTCTTTTTTTGCCCCGTGATGGAGGAAGGCCAATATTCAAGGCCATCTGCTCCCCTCAGAGCCTCCAGCAGGCTCGTTAGCCTGTGAGATCTGTCTTTCCCAGTCTGGTGACCGACTCCTCCAGCGCGGGAGGACAGAACACGAGGAATTGTCTTGCGGGGGCCATGGCACCCACTTGCTGTCCCCTCTGCGCCCTCCTCGCAGGCAACGACTGCGAGACCTTCTGGGACAAGGACCACCTCACCAACAGCTGCTACCGGTTCAACTTCCAGTCGACGCTGTCGTGGCGGGAGGCCTGGAATCGCTGCGAGCAGCAGGGCGCCAACCTGCTGAGCATCACCGAGATCCACGAGCAGACCTACATCAACGGTGCGGTGCTGGGGAGATGGGGGCGCCCGGTCCGCGTCTCCTCAGAGGCCATCGCCTGGTCCCCAGGGGCCGTCGCGTGGCCATCCGTGATGTCCATGGCGTAGGGGACACGCTCGTGGTGGAACCTGCGGGAGGGTGCGAGCGGGAGGTGGTGGGTTGAGGAGATGGGCAGGTCCTACACGTGGTTCCTCCTGTCCGGAAGCCACCGCGGGGACAATGTGTGTCCTTGGCCATGACTGCACCCTCACGGGGCCGCGCTCGGCCCATGGGGACCTCGCAGGGGCCAGAGGCTCTGAGCAGCCCCTCAGGCTGCCCCTCACGGCTCCGCGTTGCTGCAGGGCTGCTCACGGGCTACAGCTCCACGCTCTGGATCGGCCTCAACGACTTGGACATCAACGGCGGCTGGCAGTGGTCGGACAACTCGCCGCTCAAGTACCTCAACTGGGAGAGCGGTGAGGCCGGGGGCGGCGCGGGGGCGGCCG